CAGACTATCAATGAATGTCTCGCTTCAGATCTATTGCTTCAATAGTTGACGAAAATGTGATAATTAAGTGATAATCTGATGAACTTATGGCAGATATGTTGTGATTAGTAGTCATTACTTGATTCCATTGATTGATAAAAGCCATTGAAGTCAAGACTATAACACAGAATATATACATATATTAGACAAATACAGGTATAATGAATAGAGACATGAAAATACCGATTCAAGACTGGAATCATTGTATATGACTCTTGTGTCTGGAGTTTAATCGCTTCCAGGAGTTCGTGTAAAAGCGAATCAAAGTCTGTTTGCATAGAATGGATGTTGTCTTCGAAACTGATCTCCAGTTCCTTAGTCTCCTTAATGCTGACCGAAATGTCTTTGTTATGGCACTCAAACACTTGGGTTGAATCCAAGAGCTCGTATTGAGCGGAATGGCTGTGAGAGTCCTTTGCATAAGAAAGTAAGCAATTAGTGAAACAATAATACAATTTTTCATGGATTTGTCATTACTTTCATAAAATTGGAGAAAACGATACAAAGTCTGAGTAACTGAACGATAGCTCTCAACAGTTCTCCAGACGTAAGCATAGCGTCGCGCAAACACTTCTGGATGTAGTCCTCGTGAGATCTCATCATATCGTCGACACTCGAGACCTTCGTCTGAACGTATTCCAAGAACTGGTGAAATGTCGGTTCAATCACTTCAAGCATTATATAATACTCCAGATTTTGTACAAAATTCAACATTTTTTGGCGCAAAGCGAATGCCTGTCCATAGCCTGTGACCGCATTCAGTGTGAATCGTTTGGCAATTTTGTTCCCTTTCCACACCTCTTCTAACTGTCTCTCAACATATTTACAGTAAAAGAGATGTCGGAAAAGCATTTGATAACACGTTATGTTTTTGCGACTAATGATGAGCGATAGGGGCCACGAGACGTGAAAGTCGAGTGCCAGCGCTTCGGAGCCCTTCAACACATAGGGCTCGGGTATGGAAAGCTCTTTGGGGTCTTTGATGGAATTGACGCCAATATTAAGTATTTGCGACATTTGTGAGTGCAGTGAATCGGGCAGTAATTCAATGCGAACGTCGTCTTTATAAGCGTCTGAATTCATAAGACTTGTCCGAAGAGACAGCTCTAGCAGTGAGTCCAGTCGATTGAGAGCAATGTCATCGATGTCTTTCTCGAGCTCATCGCCCGCCAAATCCATGAACTGTACGATAAAGTCTCCCAAATCCATGAAGAAGTAGTGTTTTATTGACTTCAGTCTTCCGATCAAATCTGATTCATCGACCAGAAGATGAAGTAACTCTTTTGAGGCAAACTTATAGGCGCTCTCAATGTTCTCAATATAAACCCTTTCCTCAGTCGTGTAGATGAGAGGTTCGGGAGTATGCGGTCGTGATATCTGTCGGCCACAGTTGCGGATAACACTTAAGTATTTGCCAGTTTTCATAATCATATCCGAGTGGCGCTCAAAGAACACAGGGATTCGCGATCTGATCACTTCATAACGATTCTCCCAAAAGAGACTGAAAGGCAATTACCATATGTTTAGTCCACATTACGATGCAATCAATGAATACTATGACATACTCGTCGAGAATGACTTCGTCGCTCTCATTGGCTTTGTCCTCCACTAAGAACTCTTTGAACGGGTCGTCAATGATTCCCTCATATATCCAGGTCTCGAGTATTTCAAAGTAGGATTCACTCGCTTTTCTCGTTAATGACAGACAAAATTCTTGCGCTTTTGTATTACCAGTCAATGATATGGTATTTTCGTGAAGAATACTGAGAACTGCACCACCAATTGATTTGCTCTACAAATGAATGCGTTTTTTAAAAAGTAATCAAAAATTATTTTCAAAATCCAAACCTTTGACACTTTACTGGCGATGTCTTTAAGTATTGCTAAGTGTGTGAAACTCGGCTGAAGATAATACCACATCTTCTGAAGAGTGAGATCAGACTTTCGGTGTTGAGTCTCGAGTTGACTGATTAGTGTAAAAAAGTCTTTGATCTGTGCCCTCATGGCTGCCACGAGTGACTGATTAACTAAACCGTTGTCTATTGTGTCGATGAAGTGAATGATTTGTGAAAAGTATGGACACAAAGCTGTTATACGAGCGGCGAGAGTGTACAGCAGTTCGTCACCACTTTTGTCGACAATAATGTCGTGTTTATTGGGTTTGTCTTTCAATGGCTGCAACCGAATGTACTTCCCTTCGACTCCCTGTCCATCAACACAATTACACATCACTTGAAACACTGATTTCATGTCATATATAACTCACAATCAAAACAAATAATAGGTCTTCAATGAGAGCGCTCTCCTGTTCGGCAACCGATAGACTATTCAAAGGCCTAATAGACTCTTCTTGAGACCAATCATTGAACTGATAATCAAAGGTCAAGAACTTCCAGTCAGACGACTTACGTTTGTCCTTCTTCTTAGTCGACAACTCTTTCGTTTTTGTCGACAATTCCGGACTTTTCAGTGGACTCTTCAGCTCACTTCCGGACAGCCTTTGAGTGGCCGTCGAGTGAAAGGAGTGGCGATCGGCCGAAGAGGTGGACGCGTGCCTTGGAATCGATGGCGGGATGGCATCCGTTTGGTCTGTGGCTGGTCTGCGACTGGACCTCGAGGAAGACATCTTGTTCTGGAGTTTTAGCATATATTTTATCTATTATTGGATCAAATGACAAACATTTAGTGACCATTGAAAGCAAATAGTGATTAAAATGAGAACATTTGATGACATACTTTGCTCTCGTCGTTAATTCTGGTCAATAGATGGACCAAAGGGTCGAGTTCTATGACACTGTCATCACAAACAGAGACAATGGTTATTACGGGATCAAGTGGTGGTGACAGATGGTGTCACATACTTATGAATCTTCAAGTCTTCGTATTTGTTGCGGAAGTCGGGATCGCTCTTCACTTCCAGACTCCTTAAGAACGTGTCTTTCGCGCCACGAGTTTTGGATCTCTGGTCCACACTTTTGGAGAGATTGTCTGCGATTGTCTCGGCGGACACACCATCGATGGCATTGTCTTCAATTCTGCACAAAACCAAAACAAATCCAATCAAATTGGGTGTCAATGGTATTGTGAACACATTCATTACTCTAAGAGTTTCATCAATTGGTTCACATCGTTATGGATGTTAAACTCGGACGACATCTCCTATAAGCTCGTCAAATGAGTGGTCAATCACTTGTGGATCAGTTGTGGAGACAATTTTGGTGACAATAATAGCAA